TGTCATGTATCTGCTAGGTATCAAGTACCTTTTAGTAACAAATGCTGCCGGTGGGTTAAACCCAGATCTTAACGTGGGAGACTTGATGATCATAAATGACCATCTCAATATACCTGGACTGTCAGGTCAGCATCCACTTGTTGGTCCAAATGATTCTCGCTTTGGCGCTCGCTTCACCCCGCTGTCAAAATGCTACGACAAAGCTCTGCAGGATTTAGCCATCAGTGTGGCTGAGAACGTTGGCCTATCCCACAAGATACGAAAAGGTGTGTATTGCTTTGTTTCCGGGCCAACGTATGAAACACCGACCGAATGTCGCTTTCTTCAACTTGTGGGTGGCGATGCTGTTGGCATGAGCACAGTGCCAGAGGTCATTGTGGCTGCACATTGCGGGCTGAAAGTGATTGGTTTGTCACTTATCACAAACAAGGCGCTGTTTCCGGGTGAAGAACGTGTGGCAGCCTCTCACGACGAAGTTCTTAGGTCGGTTCAGGCCGCCCAATGCGACATCGAAACGTTTGTGCGAGTTTTCATCAGCCAAATCGGCAACTTGCACTTTGCATAGTAATGGCTCATTGTTAAAATATTAGCAACAATCCACCGAGAACAGTTAAAATATTTCTACTTAGAATGCAATGCCTTAAGTCAAGCAAATAATTAACGCGCGCTCGAATAGTGTCGCGTAAACATTTCTATATTGCCCAACTCGACATCTATTATGCATTTGACTTGCTACAAGTTTCTTACATGCGGCTTGACTTCTTCGCGCAGAATGGAGCAATTTGTGCTAAGTCGCTTATTATCTTATCGGTGGCGGCTTTAGGGTCTTCTAGCACTAATAAGTGCGTACACTGCTTCATTGACTCGTCCATCGAATAGATTTGGGGTTGCAAGTTCACCACATGTTCATAATATGGCGTGAAAAACATGTTCGAGCGCTCGCCGTAGTGAAAGTGAATAGTGCACTTCGGTCTTTTCAGCTCAAGATCATTAAGACGAAGAATTTCGTGGCAATACAGTGAAGCTTCAATATGCGGATGACACGCGAGCACCGTCTTTCCCGAAGCTTTATCTTCGACTAAAGCTCCTTGCAAATACGCCTTCAGTGACTCGCGGTCCCAGGACTTAAAAGCCTTAAGGGTATCAAAGTACTGCACCGCTTCCTGTCTTGATAACCATGACGTCTTCCGCTTTAGTGTGGCGTCGACTAAAAAGCTAGCGACTTTGTCCACAACTGCTGGATCCTCCTCTCCATACACAGGCTCAAAAAGAATCAGACCGTCAAAGGTGCCAGGGCATTGAACTTCAGTGTTCCAAAGTGCCCCAGCTCCCATCGAGTGGCCAATGCCAATGAGCGCAGGTCTCTTGCTATCATAATCGTATTTGTCATTTAGCAAACGTACTTGTTGCTGTACTTCTGCTGTCGTCCACGTGATCAGATTTTGCGCAGGATGGTGTACTCTTGGACTAGCAGGGTTGCTCCAATCCACCGTAGGCACAATGGACTCGTCTCGTTTCGTTCCGTGATACGGAAAATCGAACACCACAAACTTTGCCGTCACCTGCTGCGTTATTAGCAATTCTTGCAAACGACGGATGATTGGATTCCATATCTCCTTGCAAAAGCCGCCGCCATGGGCGAATAGCAACGTTGCTGCTTGCATTTTTTACAGTGATTTAGCTCTTCATTCTTAATATCTAAAAACTTTTAAATTTACTTATTGCGGCGTAATCATTTCGGTAGCTCAATCAAAAATATGGGCCAACTTTTGGTCGCTGATCCTAATAACTAATCTATTAGAGTGAACTCTCTAGCCTAGCTAAACCTGTAAGTTTCACGAAGAGAAACGATATGAGCTCGTGGGCAAATTTAAGATTCTGATGGATACTTGAAAAAGAATTTCATACGGCTACTATAAAGGTGGCAAAAGTCATTTGAGGCAAAGCGTTTAAATAAATTTCAAGTTGCTGATGTAGCTGGAAAGGTACTTCTCAGCTAGGATATGGTAGTGACGTAAACATCATTTTGCTGATTTCATTATAAAAAAAGTTGCTGAATAAACCAAAGTGGATGCTAATGGGCTGTGCCATGCACTTTGCTTAAAGGAGTCGTCGACACATTAGGTGTAGCGATATAAAATACACATATGTTGAGTCCATACGCGCCTACAAGGAGCAGAACAGAGAACTTATTAAGTTAAATAACATTGATAACCCGCGTTACTTTTTCAAAAATACATACCCTTAGAATCGAGTTGTCTTTATTTTTCCTGCCCTTCTCCCTCTCATCATTTTCATCGGTACCAATTCGGTTCACAAAAAAAGTAGTTTTCAATACAAAACTCAATCGCACATAAATTTAATGTAAATTACCTACAATTGCGTATCGAATACAAAAGTGTGAGGTAATAGAGCAGTTCCCACCTAGCCAGTCCCAACTCCAATAATATATAAACCGCACTAGAGCTCATACTAATTGTGATTTTTTCATACACAACGTGTAACGGGGTTACATGTACCCTGATTCGAAAGGGTGGGTCTCGCTAACACTATCGAATTGCTAAGCTGACTGAGGACACATCCGACATTCTACGTAGGGCATTCAAACTCTTTCATCACGACGACACGACTTTCAACCTGAACGTAACGTAGTCGTATTCGAATATGGCTTCAGAATCACAGCTTCGGCACTAGGGTCAAAAGTCGAACCCCTTGGCGTCTTCACCTCGACATCATCCTCAGAATCGCGAGAATTATCTTGAACGTCGGGACCAAACGATCGTGAGAGTCGAAACGTCGACAATAAGCATTTGGCTGCTGATCGTGTTGGCAATTAGTACGGGAAGCATATTCAATCGGCAGGAGGCACCACGTCATCAGCGGCAGCAGTCACAGCAGAAGGGAAATTTGCAGAGCCTCGTCCAATTGCCGAATCTGACGGCGTTTCCAGGCAAAGTTTCATGACGCAATGCGAGGTCGCGAACGTCGCAGACGGCCCGTCGTGTATTCTTCACGCGTCGTCGCGTCCTCGACACGAACACTCCGATCATCTGCCGGTTTACCACCAAAAAAATCTCCATCTATGTCAATCGCAATTCCAGATTAAACGGAATAGTCACAGAAGAAGCACAGGGGGCGCTCTCTTCGGGCACCCCCCCTTCTTGATCTACACAGAAATTGATCTACAATGTCGAGAACGTGGTGGCCGAGAGTAACGTCCGCGGTCGGAGGGGTTGTTGGTGAAATGGCTGGGTAATTCAGCGAAAGAGAATAAGTGGAAGCTCTGCGCTCGTCGTCAGCGCAAATTGTCTTCAACTTCGTGTGGGATCATGAATGGCCAAGTCGAAGATTTAGGTCAAGTTCGAAGAAGATATGGTGACGCGGGGGGGGGCATCATCACCAAACGATTGAATGACGCTGATGCATTGGACGGTTGCATTATTGGCCACTCTCGGCAGAACGCTCGGAGTACCCACCGCAGTGAAAGTGATATCTTTGTCACTCCCCAACAAATGATAAATTCACCTTGTTTTGGGGTCAGTCCCATTGCACGTGTTGTGTGAACCACATACATTTGTGTATGGATAACATTGACTATATATCTGGCATAGTTGTATATTCCACAATTTCTGCTTTGAAAGATTTTGAGGCCATGCATCAGTTCGGGAAGAGTGACGAAGCACATATGTGCGAACGTGCAAAACGTGCCAACGGGATCAAAACACTTGCCGCATGCAGCAGTACCTTTGGCCATCCGACCGAATGATTAACCCGTTCAGCTTCAAACAGCTTATGCCAGAGGTAGTGAAGGGAGGCTTACGTCCCGTATGATAATCCCGGTTACTATATTCAGCGTTGAAACAAACAGCTCAATCGTTGAGCTCAATTCACCGTACGGTGGAATCATCACACAGCAGTACTGATTCAATAGATCGCCGCATCATGACAAGCATATGTCATTTTGTTTATCATCACATTTTTGCTTAATGACTCGGGTTTTAGACTCGGGTTTTAGACTCGAATTCTAATTCCATTGGCACTGACTCAAGAGGTTGTGACACCCAGTCGCTTTCACCCTTCATTGGCCCGAAACAGGGTACAACAGGGCTTTAACGTCCCTCCCGAGGTACATTCTGGAGAGCACCACATACAGACGTTCGTTGCCCTGCAAGCAAAACTAACTTTGGATACCGCGTTATGCAATCGCCCATTTATATATTATCCTGAGACCTCGGCTCTTTGCTGTACCCGCTTTTCGAGTTCTGCTCGAAATACCCAGCGATAACATCGCTAACATTGTGGGCAATCCCATGTACTACACCGAAGCTATCGCCGCTTCATACCCGCGCCAAAGCATTTCTATTTGTATGCAGAGGTAGGTTCGTGACCAAGAGAGTCATATGTGGCATATAGCGCTTCCGACTTCCTGTTCTTAACTTTCATCAAAGGATTAGTATACACTTTGACTCTTTTGCTATGTTTCCGTCGCAAGAAGCGTCGGTAGCGTATTTGCATTCGACGTCTTCAATGCCCCCGCAAACCGTCTACCGCATTTGGCAGTCGCGCGTCATACATGATTACACGACGCTCCTGTATGTATCTGAACTTTTTGCGGCTTCACAGAGCCTAAGACGTTGACATCAACAACAAGCTCTGGATATGAACCCCACTTTTCGCTGAGCGATTTTGCTCTTTTCAGGGCTGGGTCCTATTGATCACGCCACCACGTGGTACATAATAAAGCAGTTCTCCCCTAGAATGCTGCACTGCTCCTACTGGGACCCGACGTTTCCCGCCAGTTCTTGTTCTCTTGTCGGGATCACTAGAAGTGCGAGCATCCCGATTTGCCTGATTAGGTGACGCAAGCACACTCAACATCTGTCGCTCCAATCTTTTCATGTTAAAACGCATTTTCCACTATTACATATTATTGTCATGTCTCGCGCGCGAGTGCCCAACTTGGTGACCGTAAGCGCGACGCGGTGTGGCTCCGTTTGGAGCTTATCAAAACTTTGATCATCTCAGCTTCTTTCACCCTAAAGAAGAGATTTTCATCTCTCAGGCCTCTATAGGGGCGGACACTCAGCATCAACGACCCCGCGGTGGATAAAGATATGTTTACCGGATGAGTGGCTGCTATTCCTTTGGCTGGTGAGCTCTCCCAGGAAAGCGGGAGTCGTTTTCGTTTCTTTGACCGCCACTTCGAGAACAACAATATACACAATCTTACTAAGCGCGTTTAGCTAGCCCAAAGGCAGAGTTTTAAACTCTTAGACAAAGTCCACCAATTCCTTCTTGCCCTGTCGGGCGGCAAGGAAACGCGATCGCATGCGATATGCCTGGTTTGGCGGCAAGACACTCGCAAAAGCTGACGCTTCAGCTCCTTCCAGGAGAGATACACCGAATTAACCGAAGCACCGCAAGTTAGTGCTCATTCTCGCGCTCGGCCCCCGAGCTTGGCGATAGCTTTCACCCCGCGCTTTTGCTCGTTCTGGAGCATGGCGGATGCCATAGCCATCTCGGCCTCTCTCACCCAGAGCATGAGAATCCCTTCATCCTTACCACGAGCGGCCTGCGTCGGGATAGTCATCCGTCATCGACGGTGGCGTCATGGATGCAGTCAACGCCGACATCTTCTGCTGTTGGTGCTCTATAGCAGAGCATTTTCATGGCTCGAAAACGCCTCTAGGTGCGCGCTTATCGCCTCTGGTCCTTGCGAAACAAGGTGTCCACGCCCTCATGGCCATGCAGGAACATCAGCTTATTTAGCCCGTCCTGCATGCCTGAGGGTAAACAAGAGAATTGCTCCATGCTCACAGAGAATCATTCATAACGACACAGGCATGGATTGCTACAAGTGCTACCAAGTGCAGCGGGGATGCCGTAGCTTTATGCTTAGAGTAAGCCTACTAAGGTCACTGACCTTACGTTTTTTACCAGAACCAGTACGAGTGTAGTGGATCGCAATCCGCTACCTCCAAGAGTACTTAAAACCCTTCACTAAGGTAAAGACTTTTTTTCCGTTTAAAATTGAAACTGTATTCAGTTGATTGCAGAACCACCTATATCTAAAACACTTGGTTTTCCTAAATACCTAATGCATAACTAATGGCAGTCCTGCCAAGTAGTTGCTTCTTGTTACGGTGTAGCCACACCATTGAGTGATTACACCAGCTTGTGTAATCGTCACCTTTGTACGGTCACACCATCTTGCGTGACCCACCTTTTATACAAGGGTACGTTTCACCCCGTTCACTCTGGGTACTTCACTCTGGGTACGTGTATCTCTTTACACTCAAAGACTCCGCACGCAACGTCATCGGCATCACGGTGGATACGATCTTTTTTCACTGGCACACGCTTGAGCCGCTCTGGATGTGTCTTACCAGCGCATATTAAGAGCTCGTGGGCGCTTGTATGCGAGCAATCACTGCTATCGGCTCTCTGGCTACTGTCTGCTTTTGCAGCGGGCTGCCGTATATTAGGGCTTGAGGAAGCGTACTTTAGGTCATCGACCTTTCGTTCCTTACAAGAACCAAGTACGAATTAGCGGATCGCAACCCGCTTACTCCAAGAGTAATTATTGCCTTCCCAAGGCTAATTGACTCTTTGGTTCAAAATAAACTGATTTTTATTTATTTTTAGTTGCTAGACCACCTAAATTTTGATGTATAGATTTTTCTAAATTAATATAGTAGAATTTAGATACATGCATAACTACTGGCTACCTAGCCACATACCGTATTCTTGTTTGGGTGCAGTCACACCATGCCCATCTGGTGTGACACACACCCCTGTTACCAGGATACGTTACACTTATCCTGATAGACATGATCGTATTAAGCTAAAATGATTTTCCTTTCTAGCATTTCATCTATTACCCCTTAAAAATCTAATCTTTGACGACTTATTTGTGGGATTGACCACAATTACCATGCACTTCGCGCAAAGAAACCTTTAACTACTTAAACACTGTACCGTAAATTTTACTCAGTCTTTTTGTCTTGTAGCACAAAAGCATTCAGTTTTGATGAGCATGAATCCAACAACCCCATTTTAGGGAAAGGCGCATGCTTTGACCAAGATTGGGTCACCAGATTTAGTTCCATTTTTCTGCTCGTTGGCACCAGTCTTAAAATGCTGATCGCTGGGTCAATTCTCCTCCTCGTATGCCCCACTAGCGCTTATAATTCCACCCGCTCAACCTCTTTGCATCAGACGGCGGTTGGCGTACCCCTCGATGGTATTCTCGTCGCTAATTCAACGTTCTTAGCTCAGAGTCTACCGAGATTTCGCGAGACAACGAATAAGAAGGTCGAAGAGCGAGCTAATGGTGGTTTGTTCGGCAAGATGTCTGATTCAATTAAGTCCCTGGTAAAAGGACGTGTCCCAGCAGAGTATAAAACTTACGTGGAGAGTTTGAAACAGTATGAAGACCTCGAATCCGTTTTAATGAGTTCCGATATGAAAAAATTAAACGACTTTTGCAGAGAGTACAATGGAAATGAAAGAAACCCCAAGATACTTTCGTCGGTCAAAGAAACTTTGATGAGGTTCGACGACAAAGAAACATATCAAAAGCTACGCGAAGTGGCACTGAGAAAAGATGGTAATCAGCGTTTGATGTCGCATTTGGCATTGGATCATATAATCAATTTGGTGAAAATAAAAAAAAAATCACCTATCGAGTTTTTTGAATTTCTGGAATTCGGCGGCGATCTTGCCGAAGCAGTACGTAATGGAAAATTTGGAGAGTTGTATTTTTACATTGAAGTGTACAATCGTTTCAACAAAAAACCTCTCCGCAATTACCATGACTTGTTGAAGATTTTGACGGCTCATTTCGATGGAGAAGGCAACTTAGTGCACCAGTTTAACGAGTTGAACGAGTTGAACGAGTTGACACATCACCGGGCATATGAACACATTATCTGGAATTTAAAGTGGACCTTATTTAGCGAGTGGAAAAAATTGCCACTTGATTTAGTGTGGAGCCGACTTCAATTTGGCCCCAACGCATATGACGCATTGACGAGTGGAAAATTGGAAATGTTTTATGAGTTCATTGCAAAATTTCATCCAAATCGTAAATACCTGGCAATTGGGAAGTTTATGTCGACATACAAAGAAGTCGATGTGACAGAAGCGCTAGAAAATGCGAGGATGCAGCCGCTCTCGAAAGACTTTGCGTCGAAGATGCACCACGAGCGACTCGATTATTGGGACGCGAATGAGTATACGCTTAAGGAATTTTTTGGCCTGTTAAACTTTAACAATGTCGACAGCGCCAACAGTGCTCTTTTTAAATTAGAGAATTTGAGCAACTTCATCTGGTCAAGCTTTGACAAGTCTAAAATGAAAGCTCGTCTGCAAGATCTCGCAAAGCAGGTCTCAGTTGCTTTAAAAGATAACAACCGGCTAGCGTTCAACTCACCCGCCGCTGATCTAGATGGTGTGCTGTACAAACTATGGACTGGCGATCGAATTTCACCAGAGAAATTGTTCAGTAAACTCTCCATCGAAAATGCTCATATTGACACAGACGGGAACGTTCATTTACGTGCCAACGAGGTGGACTTTGACGACGATTTTTCAGCCATTCCCTTCAATATTCCCAGACGCTCTTAGATGGATTCTGCATAGTTCTGGGGCGATAGTGTGTCACAAGAGGTCTCCTTCATATCATACTGCAACCTAACCGATGCTTTGTTGTCTTCGTGTTTCGCGAAGAGATTGCGAGTCATATACTGTGCATGTATGCGCTCTGACCAAAAACAACCTGTGGGTCAAGCGCTTGACAGACATCCTCTTTAGCAACTAGCCTCATTATCGCTGTCACATAGCACAATTAATATTACAATTGATTTTTTTTTCTTCTAGTTAAGATTCGGTCTGATTGTGTGCGAATTTTGTCTTTAATACTGAATTCATATATTAGCAAAAGCAAGGGTGTTAAGATCTCATCAAGTTACACAGAACACCCTATTCAAGCACAAAGTTGAGTCAAAGCATAACAAGATTTCGATTTGGCGTTTGCACAAGTTTGTCCAGGAAATAGTCAAGAAGGCTACACAAACCAAGTTTGAGCTGTCGCAATTTGTAGCCATTTTGGCATACATGCCACTAAGTCTTCCGCTCGTTATTCTTTGACGAGCACATAGCCCACATGTTGACCCAAAACTTTAAGCTCGAAATCGACTATAACGTGCGATTGTATGTGTCATACTCTAGGGATAACGTGTTTCGTTTGCACTCGTTAAAAGGTCAGAATTTTATTTTGCACTCTGACATCTTCCTGTATAGCAAATACAGTGGAGAATGACGTTGCGGTCAGGCGGACTTTCATGCTTATGTTGTGACGGGTCACACGGCACCTTGCACAGAGGAAGGTTGACTTCCAAGAGTATACAAACTCTAAGTGAACGGCAGTTCACAGATCCTTGGTCAGAGGAACGTTAATCAAATTTAGGTAGTTTTAAGACTGAATATATTTATAGGTGTTACTTAATGTTTTCCTAATACATGACTCTCAAGCCATGTACCCATCTAGTAGCTGTGGTGTATGCCACATCACAGC